GAGCAAATCCAGGCATGAAGAAGTGAAGACGCGGGAAAGGAACCATGTTCACAGCCAATTTTCTGAGATCAGCATTCAACTGGGAAAAGATAACGAAAAAAATTGAATTTATGTTCAAGTTAATGATTATAGAGTCTTCGAACTCGGATTCACCCAAGTCTAAAAATTAATCCTTTCTAAATCAGTATGCATATTCTCCATACTGTTCACTAAACATTTCCGAAGATGCTGTAACAAGGAGACTTTACTTCTCTAGTCAGTGACCATATCCCTTATTTTCATGACCTTTATGTTTAAGGGCTCTGGGAGTTATTGTAGGGAGAAATTAGATGCTAATCAGCCTTAGAAATCAAAGAGTTAAAGGATAACGGAAAACTGTGCTATTTCACCTTAATCTCGTACTCAGTCCTACTGTGTAAATGTAACTGAAATGTACTTACAACCGCTTGGCCGTGTAAGGTCTGGGTACAAGACTAATTTTACCCACAGAAAACCTGCCGAGACGCTCATGAAATGTTTTAAAACTTAAGCAAATATTTTACGACAACAGGTAATTAAAATGTAGTTTACCAGTGCGTTATTTGCACTGGTATTACCTGTAAGCAGTTGAGTTTGTTTTGTTCTCAAAACATTCAAATCATCATCTCAGCTTGGTATGTCACTTATCAAATATGGTTTCCATGGTGACGTAACACTGCGCTCGAGCAACTTTTTGAAAATGATGTGATGAAATGTAAGAAATTTACGTTTAGTTTTTGCCTCATTAGCACATCCTTTACAGTCTTGTTACGAAACAACAAAAAGCGACGCAGATGATTCACAAAAGCAAACAACCACCGCTAGATACTTGAAAATTGTTCTTGGCGCCAATTTTTGTATCTAAGTATAATTGTAACGTTAAAGTTATAGCTATTAATTCTAAATTAAAGTATTTTCAAGCCTTTTTTCATCATTTTTAGAGAGAACAAATTAACATTTACCTGGCCAGGGAATCGAAGGCAAGTTGTTACACCGCTCATGGTAGCTGATACAAGGTGGTTCAAATCACCATAGGTTGGTGTGGTAAGCTTCAGAGTTCTGAAGCAGATATCGTAGAGTGCTTCATTGTCGATGCAGTATGTTTCATCGGTGTTCTCAACCAACTGATGGACGGACAGTGTGGCGTTGTAAGGCTCCACAACGGTGTCTGATACTTTTGGTGATGGCACGACGCTGAATGTGTTCATGATTCTGTCTGGATATTCTTCTCTGATCTTCGAGATAAGAAGGGTTCCCATACCCGAGCCGGTTCCGCCGCCCAAAGAGTGTGTAAGCTGGAAGCCTTGAACGCAATCGCAACCCTCGGCTTCTTTGCGAACAACGTCTAGTACTGAATCAACTAATTCCGCTCCTTCGGTGTAATGTCCTTTTGCCCAGTTATTCCCTGCTCCAGATTGGCCTAAAAGAAGATTAATTTTTTCAGTTTAAGTCTCTCTGGTATGAACTTTGCTAAACTAGAAAAGGGTTTGGTGTATCATTGTGTTGCATAAAAATGAAATTCGACCTCAGGTTGATATTTTTCACTCTCCGATGAGTGTCATGCATACGATTTCTGAGACTGGCCCCGAGAAGTTGTTATACTAAGCTTGTTACATTACTTAAAACGGAACTTACCAAAGACAAAGTTGTCTGGTCTAAATATTTGCCCAAATGGACCAGATCTCACAGAATCCATAGTACCTGGTTCTAAATCGACTAAAACAGCGCGCGGGACATATTTTCCACCTAGAAAGAGAAGACAAATAGAAATCAGCTATCGTGAACACAATGTAGCGGGCAAATTAAACAAAAGAATTCAAAGTAAATTTAGCATTCCCTACCTGTAGCTTCGTTGTAATAAACATTAATTCTCTCCAACTGGAGGTCGGAATCTCCGTGGTAGGTTCCTGTTGGATCGATGCCGTGCTCATCCGAGATGACCTCCCAGAACTGAAATAGAGCCAGACCTTATCAGAAACTGTATTGATTGAGTGACTACAAAGCCTTAGATCTACAAAATTTTTTCAAAAGGCGAGTCTCAGTACTTACTTTGGCGCCAATTTGATTTCCACACTGGCCTGCTTGCATATGAACAATTTCACGCATTTTGGAAGTGTTTTAGTCTCGATTACCTCTCTTAAGTAATGTCTTAGATGTTAGAGTGCTCTGTACGGCTCACAGATTCAAACTGAAAGAGCTCAAGGACCGGTTACGATTCATAAACTCTTGGTTGCCACGTCAACAAAAGGTGTCGCTATTAAGCATGTTTGAATGTGTGTATTCCCAAGTGAAACGTAATCGACGAATTCAAAAGTCCCGCATATTTAGCGTGCTCCAGTATTTGTCTTTTAAATCGTTGTACAAACTAAGCACTATTTTAATTAACTGAAGTAATAGCGCCAACAGAGCGACCTCTCGAGGGGGTGCTTATTCTACTGCCTTCTATTCAAAGTTCGTTTACACATCACGTTTGGCTTTATTTAATAGACACAACGATCTGAAAGCTTAGCGTCGGACGATTCCTGCCGAAATTTCTTTGAAAATGTTGTCAGCAGAATCATCAAATCTTGCCAACTCTGCAACCATGAACCAGTAGTCGGTTTTTAGAGATGAACGCACAGAGGCCTTTACTCGCTTTTCCTACATTAAAGGAAAATGGATTAACGCTCTTTTTGAGGAAACAATCACTTGAATATGAACTGCCTTCACTCAATAGACAGGGCAAACTAATTAAGTGAGCATCTGTAAACAGGCCGTTCTGAAAAGTATAAATATAACACTTAGCACGAAGCTAATAGGTTAACTGACAGTTGGAAGCGAACAGTATTAAGGACTGTTTCCGTCTTTCCCATGACAGGAAAACCTCAGTTGTATTACAGAATGTGTCAAGGCAGGGCAAGGCAAAAGAACAAAGGGACTCCTAAAATGAATATTTATCTCTAACAATTAGCACTGATCCAAGTTTCGTTTGTTTTTTCTCACTCGTTTGGAAAACGAATAAAAGAAATGCCACATCCGCTGTCGAGCCATACATCAGAATTTAAACCTACGCAGTTTTCCGTAAATTAACTACAGTTTCAAGCAGAGTTTATTATTAGGGTTCAGTGAGTTACAAGCATTCCAAAGTCTTACGGCTCTGCGTACAGAACTTCAATTGTTTGAAGGCATGTTTTTTGATGTCACAGAAAGAGCTCTTAATGTCGAAAAGATCGATATCAAAAGAAGTCAATTAGCTGCTTGTGTTGTCATTGTTTAGTTGACTTTGCGTTTCTCAAACTGGATCAAATTTTAAGCTTCTTTGCAATGGTCTTGGAATTTGATGAGTTTATCTACAAGATTTTACTCTCATTCCAAACGCACTTTGTTACAACAAGGACACCCAAACACTCGAGATATGAAATGCTACCTCGACATCACGTGAATGTTAAACCCATGCAAAGACGCCCTTTGCGTTTCCAAGTTACGGTTTTCATGGTTACTCTTCAGGTTCCCATAGTTTGATTTTGATTACTTTATGCCTAGTGCTGAGTGCCCCTTATTGTCTCAATGTCCGCGCGAAGTCTGGGATAAACAGATGAGGTGAGCGAGGAAAGATTATTCAAGACGGTCATTTGAATCTTTTCCGTAATCTTTAACGTTATTTTGGGCCGTCCTTTGAGCTAAAAAAATAAATCAAGACACGCAATACAAATAACTCACACAAAATTCAGATTTATTAAAAAAATAACATAAAAGATGCTATTCATATAAAACGCATCGAGTAACTTTCGGTGAACAGTTTTCATCATCTTTTCTGATAGTCACCGAAATCTCTTTGTTAAAACAGGCCTGAATTAAAATTAAAACCTTTGTTGTTAGAAGATACTGGAGAACCCGACATACTTCTTTTTTAAATGTTTTGGTCCTAACGATTTTATCTAAATCCATCTAAAATGACTGGCCAGGAAACTTTCCCGTTGTTTTTTTCAAGACTGTTTGAACGCAAAAACAAAAGATTGTGAAGGATGTTGACAGGAGCTCCCGTCTTTGGTCTCATCTTCGATTTTCCAAGCACTAACGGGAGTGTAATAATTCATTTCGCGTTTAAAGCGACGTTGCGTCTTACTGCTACAACAATAAATTATGAAAATAATATTGTCAAGTTATATGAACCCTATGACTCCCATCACTGACCAAGACATAATTTCTCCTTGCAATGCCGACACAATATCAAGCAGACAGGTGAGAAGAATTTCAATTGGGAGATTATTTGTTGAGCTAATATCAAATTCCCCGAACTAACAGCACAAGAATTGTGCGACAGACAGTAAGGAAAATTATTAATGAGATCTTGGCAGTGAAAGGGTTACGTTTGTTTCAGTTGTTGTTGCTGATGATGGTGACTACGATGAAGACGAGTCGAGAGTTTATTCCGCTTTGAAGTACTTGAACACCTTGAGAAAGAAAAATTAAAACAGTTGCGAATTACTGGAAAGGGACTGAACTGTGGCTTGAGTGTTTGGGGTGGTTACTGCGGTTGTTTACATGTATCTTCGCAATACACCAAACTCTGATAGCACATTTCTCCAGCCTGTAGTAAGAAGTCACCAGCGACCTGACGAAGGGATCTAACGAAATGCTGGGAAGTAGCCCGCGATAGATCAGCGTTGCATACAGGCAGAGCAGTGATGCGAACAGCTTATAAAATGTTTCTTAAGTCACATCTCAACTGTGATGTATGCAAACTCTAAATCACCTGTAACTGATAGAAGAGCCCCTTCTCAAACGGAGTCTCAAAATAATAGCACTAATAAACATACCTTTATCTCCATATCCTCTGAGCCTGACAGAAGCATATCTTTATGAATAACAACACAGTTGACGCTCCCTTCGTGTCTTGAGAGTGTTTGCATTGGTAACATAGTATCCAGATTCCACACCTGATAGAAAACAAAAATTACCCCGAAACTCCAGGAATATTGAACTGAGAATATTTTAAACCTAGCCTTAGTTCCAAGTGTTGATCAACATGTAACTTCTCCCTATAATATCCATACATTATCCAGCAAACAGGAAATGAGAATACTCAAAGATATCAGGTAGAAGTTGTTATCTTCCTCCAACACCACATTCTCACAACTAATTTAGAGGTAATTGAGTAGCAGCTATGGAGAGAATTAATAATCAGATCTTGGGAGTGAGTGGGTTAAGACAGGTTATTAAGGGAGTTCCGAGGGCACGTGACAGCTGCTAATCCTGCCAGTTAGGAGCATGCGCCCAAGTCTGACGAGTGAGGAATAAAGCGGATCATTCTCTTTATAGCTAAACGAACGAAATGATACCACGTGACTGTACCTGTACTGTTGTGTCGTAGGAGGCCGAGAACAACAGCTTTCCCGTCACTGCTGGCGCCAATCCCGTGACTGTGCCAATATGACCAACAAGAGCCTTGATGGACTGGTAGGTGTTTACATCATAAACGTGAATGTTCTGGTTGTACGTACCTAAGAGAGAGAGTGAAAGGGAAGGTGCTTCCTCTAGGAACTATAGTAATGTTTATGCGGAGAAGATACGCTTTTAATGGTAATTATTGACTGGGAGTAATGTCTTCCATAATAAAAACATTTTATGCATTATCGACCTTTAACATGAACAAAGTTTGATCAGTAAATTACCAGCCTGGGACTAGAAGAGAGAAAAAAGGAGAGCTGGGTTCATTTCCTTTCCCCCAAAAGTTACAGATTCCTTTATAACTGTATAATTAGACATCTTTTCGTTTGCAATTCTCATCCCTATTTTAATCCTTCTTTCCATTCTTTGTTTTTTTTATATTGCCAAATTAATATTTTCTTGCTTTTTTTCACGTTGAAGGTAATTTCCCACGTCCGAACTTAAGACTAAAATTACGATTATATACCACCATAACGAGTGTGGGAAACTCACCAACAAGAATAAAGTGCTTAGTGACAGCCAACGAATACACAGAGCCCAGAGAGTGATCGATGGTTCCTCGGAGATCAAACGAGCCTGTGGCATCCCATATGTGGACTACATTGTGAGATCCACTGTAAAGCTTCTCCTGAAAACATAAACAGAAAACATCAACTTGACAATTGAGACTGAACTTTTCACTTAAATTGAAGTACACTTGAAACCAAGGAATGATCGGCATGAAAAGTCTCCTCTCATTTCCAGTACAGTGACAAGCAAAGTTGTTATGAGAATTGAGAAAGTCATATGCTTTAGTTTATATACTACTCGGACCGAACTAAAAAATTCTTAAAACACACCGACCAAGAAATATCACGTAATAATGCGATTGGTCCACACTGACTTGTTCCACTTTCTTAACCAATCAGATTCAAAACCAAAACGGATTACGATTTGGCTACCTGCGTTTTCCCCTGCTTCAAGTAATTTGCTTGTTTTAACTTTGAGTTCTCATAGGCTTTTTGCAATATTTTTCTTTGTTCTGATTGGCTGTCGTGATTACTTCCGTTCTGTATTTAAGACTCTCGGTCAAAATACGCTCTATATGCAACAAAAATAAGAAAAAACTAACTCTTTTAGCGTCCAAAGCCAGCGCTCGGACCCAGTGATGAAGGTCTGTCATCTCATGTACTTCTTCCAGACTAGAAGCATCCCAAACCTGTAAAATTTTCAGATTATACAATAAGCTGATTTATACATACATTTTGATTGGTTATCATCCATGATCAACATCACTATTGACATCATTTTTTTGTTCTTGTCTCATCTTATGTCATCAATCATCTATTATAATTATACTGAACAGTTTCACAACAACATGGAATCCATTGGCCAGTTGGATAGCCAAAAATTTATCTATTAGAGAAGTCTTTCACCTAAAGATGGGACATTTTATCAAATAACGACCATTACAGGTAAAAGCAGAAGTGAGAAATTTATAAAATCAAATGATTTAAAAAGATTCAACAAGGCTACCTTAATGCAAGAATGTGAAGATGTGAAGAGGTACTGCCCATTGTAAACAATAGCACATATAATATTGTCATGGGCATTCTGAAAAAAAAAATTAGAAAATAAGAGAATAAAGTCAAAACCCACCAAACCTACAAAAGAAATAAAACAAAAAGTCTCACCAATATGCAAAAGTATCAGGTATATGTAACGATATATGATAACAAACCTCTATTTTTTTATGTAGAGTTAAATTTTCCAAGTTCCATGAAATAATTGCCTGATCAGATCCTGCACTATATAGTTTTCCACCTCCAACACACATGGTGTGAATCTTAAGAGAGAGAAGAAAAAAAAAATTTCAACAGAGTATAAGTTTAAAGCCTAAGAAAATAATATTTAGGCAGCACTTTCATTTAATCCCTCACCAGTCATATAATTGCTGTCTGTCAACCTGAAAGCAATGAATTATCCCCTGACCAGAACAAACACTTACAGTGTATATCACTTACAGTGTGGTTTTACAGTAGTTATCATACATCATGATCATAACCAAAGACAAATAAAAGTAACATTACCCACTGATTGTTATTACAGGTGCAATCATATAATATAATAATAATAACAATAATAGAACAATTTCTATAGCACCCTATTATAGAGCTTTAAGGTGCTTTACAATAAAATGTCTAAAGCAGTAACTTAGTAAATAAATCAGAAAAATACTAGAGCAAAACTACAAATTCAAACAGTGCTTAAAAAGATATGTTTTAAGGCTGCTCTTAAAAGATGTAAGATTTAGACTACATTTTAAATGCTCTGGAAGATTTTTCCAAAATTTAGGGGTGCATACCGAAAAATCATGATCACCATAAAATTTTAACCAAGATCTAGGTGTCACTAACAAGTTCATGGTTGATGATCATAAATATATTGTTATAAAAAGCACTCCTTACTTACATCATCAGCGTGCCCTTCCAGGACTTCCGTACATTTTGCTAGCCGCACATTCTCCATGTTCCAAACCTTGATAACTTGATCTCCACCAGCACTAAAAAGACGATGGCCTTTTGACACCATGGACCAGATAGTACCACGATGACCCCTGAAAAAAGTTTGAGTTAGGATGTAATCAAAACCAACACCACAGTACCTCCTCCTAACTAGAAAAACCCTTACTTCCTAATTTGAAATTTTTACTCAAGAATATAAACTTACTCATATCATCTCCTAATTAGTTAACAAACACACAGATAGTATTAACACCTATAAATTTATTTCTGATAATCTTCTTGTTCTTTAAAAAAAGTGATGACAAAACCTGACATTTGATACTTTTTTCACTGAGAAATACATAAATCATTAGATAATTACTCCCTTCACCAGGGGCAGCATCAGGAATTTTTTTTCCTTGGTGAGGCATAACTGAGAATATGTGTAATGGTGGTGCAATAACCGCGATGATAAGTGCCAAAGGCACAAGAAACTAGAGGGATTTGGGGATATGCTCCCCTGGGAAATTTCTCAGGTTGAGGTAATGAGAATAAAGAAAAATCTCAATTGGGGGATCCAGACAGACAATCACTCTACATGATCAAACATTACTCCAAGTTAAAACAATTCACTGTTCACAGACAACTTTATCAGTGACTAAAAATTACTGTAAAACACCTCAAGGTGCCAATACACTTGAAGACGCAAGGTATGCCCCAAACATCTTGGTGTGCTGCTGGTGATGTCTTGAGTCTGACGAGTGATTTATGTGCATGAGAATATGAAGTGGTATCATCAGGGCTTGTACTCTGAGAACTGTTGATTGTTTCAGGGATGGAGGTAATTGATGTTTCACGATAAAGTGATGATCGCTTCAGAATAACTGAAAGTTGTTCCACTTGAAATGCTAGGTCTTCTACTGTTTCTGACAATCTGGAAATAGCACTGATAGAAAACAAAGAGAATGATTTTTATCATACTTGAACACATCACTCGGATACATGACTTTCTATGCTTGAGTCATTTAGACTGTGAGTAACTTATGAGGTTAGAGGTGGTATTTGCTGTGAATCTGCGTGGAGATACCAATTGCAAAACTGGAAAAATTATAGAGACTCAATTCCATAATAACTTTCAATGGATAAAGCTTTCTCACCACACCTCCCCCCTTTTAATTTTTTATGGTCATTATTTTTTAACTTTTTGTAAACTACTACCACTATAAATTAAATGCTGAACAGGAAAAATAATAACCATGATAATTGCTCTTCTAATTTACCAACCTATTGCATTGTTCAACTTGTGTCACTAAAGCATCCTGATGGCTCTCTAGCCATGACACTCTATCTGAAAGGACCTTTATTGATGATCTTAGTTCTTCAGAGGACTGAAATCAGTGCAACAAAGATTAGATGATTGATACTGCAACAAATTTAATTAGGCACACTAATCATTCTTGATCACAACACTGCATCAAAACATCAGGGTCACCCTTTGTGCTACTTTCAGACTAATAACAGGACAAGTTATCATGTTCTGTTTACAATTAGAAACTTAGTTTTATTGTGTTTATGTATCAAGGCTATTAAAAACACAATCTGAAATACAATGTATGGTTGTAGGGAACTTCCTCAAAAAGAAGCAAATCCACTTGAGCAAAGTAATGTAATTTGATGGCAAAACAAATCTTTGGTAAAAAAAGTTTTGAATTTCTAGAAACGTATATCAGTCAAATATTCCCTATAACACATCCACCTGGTGGGTACAACATTTAAAGTAAACAACAAATTGCTTAAACCCAGTCAGGGTGGTAAAATCTGAACAAGATGTGTTCTAATTGTCAGAGTAACATGTTTCCTTCCACTCATGTGGTAAAAACGGCAGTCACTGTCATGGAAAAGTCTTCTTTAGGACTGAAACATTTCACTCTCACAATTAGACCACAACATCACCATTCAGAATAGCAAATGATTCATTTCGCATATTTGCCTTTGTAGAGGGGGGCATTGGGATTTTCCATTTTGAGGTTTTTGCTATTTTTTAGATTGTTTTTTCCATTTTTGTGTCAAAAATCTTTGGTTTTTCGGCTTTGGTGTTTGTCGCAGTTTATGGATTTTCCATTTTTTAGTATTTGGTTTTTACGAAAATAATGGGTTTTCGGATTTGATATCTGATATGGTTTCGGTTTTTCCTATTTGACCAATTTAGGTACCAGTTTCTCTTTGATCTGAGTGGCAATTATGCACCTCCACTGATCTTGCTAAATGCAAATGTTGAGAAAAATGCGTGAAATATCCCAGGGATCCCTAAGGGGGTTCAAGCATCTTGAATGATGCCCAAGACTTTGATCTTGCAATGTGGAGCACTTAGGTCAAGGTTGATCAGTTTGTGAACCATGTCTTCCAACGTGCCAAACGTGCTGGCAATGGAAGAAGGTCACTTTTTTTATGAAGAGAGGAAAGACAGCAAGAATTTCAGAAAGAAAAACAAGGTTAGATGCAAAGTAAAAATTGTAATCCCATAGAGGACTCTAGAAGACTTTGGTGTGAATTTCTCTAATTTAACTGGGCTCCATTACCAGCCGATGAGTCTGCAGAGACCACTTGAGGTCCTCAAGAGAACAGCTAAAATAAACCGTATAATTTAAGCAGGTACAAGAAGATATGAATGCTTAGCCCATGGTATTCACAAATACTGTAATGAAATTAGTGTAGTTTACTCTGTATGCTCCACTTGTCACCACTGTATTGGATTGATCAGGATGATTTAACTAGGAAGTGAAAATGTATCAGTTTTGATGGTTTAATATGCGGTTTTCGGTTTTGATCAGATTTTTTTTTCAGTTTTCTGGTTTTGGATTAAATTTTTCTCTACAGTTTTTGTGGTTTCTAGTGGGCCCCAATGCCCCCCTCTTTACAGAACTAACTGGTTCTCATTACCACATAAAATTGTTGGCATTGATTCCAGTGAGAAATTCAAAATGGCATAATCTAAATATTTCAGTAGTTAGTGTCATTTCTGAATTTGATGTAAACAGCATTTTTACCAGTTCTTAAAGTAGGATATTTTGTCTCACATAATGGCCCCTTGTTGTAGGATTGTAAAAATTTCTAATAAAGGTTTGAATAAAGATCACCAAAGGGATGGAATTCATATTTACTCATTAACAAAGTGACAAAATGAAGTTGCCATACTGTACCTCAGAATGGAGAGCTTGGCACTTAATCAGGTCTGAGCTGTGTTTAAATTTACATTCTTCTGCATGTTCTTCCACATTCTGTTTAGTTCCAACATGTTCACAACCTTGGAGGAGTTATAATATCATTACAGACGACTACATTGAAACTTCACAAACTCACATTTCCGAAGTGTAATCTGAAAGGTGCAAGTTGCTGCTCTAGCCTATAAACCAAATGACCTAAATTCAAAGTCATAATTTACAATTTCTTGGCCAGGGCCCAGTAGGCTATCATGAGAAAAAGACAGTTAACTGCCTTTCTGATACTGATAGAGGACTTTAAAGTACGCAATCTGTTCAAATTATGCATAACACATTCCATGTATATTTAATTACCTACTAAATTATGATGAACTGCGAATCTAATGACAGGGAAACGACAAACTGAATTAAATTTTAATTTTTCAAGTTTTTCCCAAAATATATTCAGAGTATAACTGACAAGACCGACCAAATTACATACCCTTGACACTATACTGACAGCGGTACTGAGCACAAACTTTCAAGTGTTCCTCCAAGCATTTACGACGAAACTTTCCACATTGATTTGAGCTGTTTGGACAAGGGACCAAAGCGAATCCGCAGAGATCTTCATGTTCTCGCCGTCGACCAAATGAAATTCTCTCTTGACAACCACTACTGTCTATATCAAAGTCTTCTTCCGAATCAGATCGTGTTAAACCGTGCCTACAGTGTATCAACAAGTCTTCTATCTGGCCTCGCACGGCTAAGTTCGACACTAAGTGAGTTCGTTGTAAAGTTGTTCCATCAAGAGGACATTTCGTTGTCGCATTTCCGGTAAGAGAAACCCCATTTCGAATGCAATTTCTGCAAAACGTATGTCCGCATTGAGTTGAAATAACCGGATCTTTGAAAAGTTCTCTGCAAATGGGGCATTTTAGAGACTCCGACGGCTGGACGACAAACTTTGTGGGTAACATTTTTCCGAAAGATGAGTTATTGTGTCGTCGTTAAAACCAAAATTATGATACGAATATTGTCTTGTACATGTAGTAATCCGCTGATTTACTTTCCAACACTGTAGGCGCAGAGTTTTAGGCAAAACACGAACTTGCGGGAAACGTAGCAGGTACTTTTTGAGAGACACTTGCAAACGATGAGGTTGTTCGTTTGTTTTTCCACTGCTCTTCTGCAAATTTTAGCTTTGGAGCATGCATCCATTGAAACAACCAGCGACCCCTTCCCAGATGACATTCTGACGCCGTACAAGGATTATTACAAAACGAAGAGAACACACAGACATGTTCGTGAATGCCAACCTATTTTATATGGTAATAGAACACACGAGACGCTTAAGATTCTGAGCCGCATAAAACCGGGTCAACCTTTCGTCCAGGTGAAGAATTTTTATCACAGATACACAAGAAATAATGTGGAAACGGACGTTGTCGGTCACGTTGTTTCTATAGAAGATCCTTTTCGGACGTTTTCGGTTCTTGAACCGAGGGAAGTCGGGGGTTGTAGCGATCCTTACAAACGAGCTACTGTAGCAGAATCTGCGAAACAGCGAAAATGCTGGGTAGCTACAAATGCAGGGTTTTTTAGAACTAAGGACGGCAAGTGTTACGGAAATGTTTTCACTGATGGAAGAAAAGTCCAGGATTCTGGTGGAGTGCAAAATGCAAATTTCGGTATTCGCAGAGATGGTTCTATACTTGTGGGGTACTTATCCGAGGAGATGGTTGATGACAAAGAAAATCCCTTTGTGCAGCTCGTATCTGGTGTGATTTGGATACTGAGAAATGGCATGGTGTACATAGATGAAAGCAAAACTGCGGAATGTCGCGACACTGAGGAAACAGGTTCTATGGACTTGTTTGCCGATGTTATGTCCGCAAGAACAGCGTTGGGACACGACATAGAAGGAAGGGTTATGATTGTTCAGATTGATGGAAAGACAAATCACAGAGGGCAAGTGTTAAACTTCGTTGCTTGATCTTATCTTTGCTGATCATTTGCCGTTTAGAAGATGGAGATTTTCTTTCAGGAAGTTTATTGTCACGTATCACATGACTTGAGAGTTCACATTACTCTGATCCATTTCCATGGAGCTGTAACCATTCTTCGCCACGTATCAGATTGTTTTTATTCTTTACTGACTGCCATTTTCTTTTGTGTTTGAAGGATTTTTGTACCTTTGACCTTGTTAAGAGCAGAATTTTGAATATTAATGTAATTGTGCTACTTGATACAACAAACACAGCTGTTTCAAGGCATAGTTAGGCATATTTTTGCCTGGGGTCTGTTTTTGGAACTTTTGTAGAGGATAGCAAAGGAGGGATCCTGATCCTGTTAAATGTATGAATGTGAGATAAATTCATTTGATCTGTCATAAATTTAAAAGAAAAATTTCAAATCTTTCAGGGAAATCTTAAGGTTTTCACGAAACAAAAGAAAAAATTCACAGGACATGTACTGTATATTTCTGGAGGCAAATCATGCCTCATGCAGGGCCCAGTTGTACATACATATTATACAGTACATTATCCTTTATCCAGTGGATAGTTTATCCAGTGGATAGCATTATCCACCCTTCAAACTACCTGAACCTGGTCCATAAATTTACAAATCATGCTTGCCTTTCCGTAAAATTCTCGCGTCATGTATCAGTTTTGGCCTTAAGTATGAACACATTCAAACCCTTTGCTACCCTCTGTGGATGCCGTGTTCAGTGTCCTTTCCCCAAGAGCAGCTTGTAACCAAGCCTATGTAGAAGTATGTCATCAAAATGCATTTCTTTGTGTTCTTTTATCATTTTGTTTCTCTACTATGTTATTATTTTGCGATAAGTGATCAATAAGACCTACAACTTGAAGTATGTTAGAACAATGGGTTAATGTGAACAGGAGCTGATGATGTGTTTGGTTCAATTAGGATTGATCTGTACAGCTTTGCTAGTCTTTTATCGAAACTTGGTCTGGTGAATGCAATAAACCTTGACGGTGGAGGCTCAGCTACAATGGTAGTGAACAACACACTGGTAAACTACCCTTCAGATGAATGGTGAGTCTGTTACTCTGTTTTTTGATTTGGGAGCACAAATCAGATGTATTTTTAGGGAAATAATTTTTTTTTCCAAAAATGTTTTGCTTTTTTTTATTTCTTTCTTACAAATGGAATTCATAAATTCTTTGTAGAAGTAATTTGTTGGTGTTGACACTGTATAGTTTTACAAAATAATATGTATATTGTAATTTGAAATTATTTTTAATTAGTTCAGTTAATTTTCCTAATTTGATTTGAACTGTCCTTTGTTCAAGGAAATCTAAGATAATTAATACGAATCAACACATTTTGAAACCATTCAATCTAAATTCCATGCTTACCTACAACATAACAGAAGTGTTTGATTCTTTTTATAAGAAGCACATTCTTTTCCTTTTTTTTTTTTTTTCGGTGCAGGGAGGGAGTGGGGACATTATGTTTTGGTCTTTATTGTAGTTCAATTTTATTCATAGTTCAAATTATTTCAAACTCAAAAGAAAATTGAGTACAAAATGAAACCACAGATGATATCTGGATTTTCTCCTCAACCTGAGTATACCCAAAATTTTTAAATCAGGAAAATTAAAAAACTGAGCGCCCATATACTCGCCCATCCCAAAATTATTTCATTTTCTTCAAACAGGTTTAAAAATTTTCTTTTTTTACTTAAACTCTAGTGGTCTTTTCACATGCTCCAGAAAGGTATCAACAGTTGTGTGTGCACACGAGCCTGACTGCATACCTAAGGATTGTAATGGCCATGGACAGTGTGTGATGGGGGAGTGTCTTTGCGACAGTCATTGGACTGGAGGCTCATGCAATGTATTAAAATGCAGACAACATAACTGTTCTTCAAATGGAAATTGCACTACTGAAGGTGAGATCACAGGCCTTGTTTGCTGGAAAGAATATCAGTGACACACATCAATGCAGTGACACACTCATCACATTTTGCCACATTTTGACATCATCTGTGATTTATTTGTATACTAAACAAACGCTCAGCAACTTGGAATATATTTGTTAAAGGTAAATTTTTTTTGGGGGGGGGGTGGGGACTGGACTGATACTTTACATGATATTTAACTGAGGAACAATTGAGCAAACAGGAATAAATCAGTGTGGTTTTTTTTTTCACAGATGGTTGCTCATGTTTTCCTGGTTGGAAAGGAGAGAAATGTAATGAAGGTTGGTATAAGTGATCTGAAAAAGAACTAAAGAAGGAATTGAAATAAAATTTTTTTTAATGCAGTCTTTGTTAAACAAAGACATCTTAATTTGAGCTTCATAATATCTATTCTCCTAACAGTCTTCAATACCTTTAAGTTATTTCTTTCGATTTTTTTGCTCAGACTGAAGATTTTGTCTCAATCAAAGTTGAAACAATACACCATAGTTAACCTTTCCTTTTTTTCTTGTAACCTTTTTGCTTAAAAATGTATCACTATTGTAAGGAGAAAGTTGATTTTAGTCATTACTGAGAGTGAAAGGAGTAAGCCACATGTTGACCAACATATAGACTCAAACTTTTTCCTAATACAATTAAGAGTGCTAATTTGATTGAAAGAATATATATTTTCATTCTTTTTCAATCCTGATACTATACCCTGATACTTCTGTTTAGTTCCATTTATTTTTAAACCTGAAATAGTGAGTAGGTAATGCCAAGAAAGACTGCAGTAATATTTTCAAATTTTTTTGTGGCAGTTTTTATATAATATTCTCACCTTGTAACAGGTTGTGCATTAGGATTCTTTGGATTGAACTGCAGTAGAGAATGCCTATGTCAAAATGGTGGAACATGTGACCCAGTCGATGGTCACTGTACCTGTACCCTTGGATGGATGGGAACATTCTGTCAGCAGCGTAAGTGCTTTCCTGTCAGATGCTGATTTTGCAAAGAGAGGCATGGACCTGGATATTTTTACATGTACCTACATGTTGAAAATAATGTGAAACCATTCTAAAAGTTCTGTAGCCTCTAGCTATGAAACTGGAAATGTGGAGAGAGAAAGATAACTAGCAGCATTCAGTCTAGAGTGCCTAAATGCTTAAAAGTAACTCAAAAGTCAGAGAGCAATCAAACATTTCTTTGCTTGCAATCAAGCATTAAACTTATTTACATTTTAAATGTGCTTTAATTTGAGAGAATACATACATAAATGAATAAAAAAAATGAAATACTTGTAACAAAGCTTTAAAACAAGAAAATAATGATTAAAATGTAGGTATGTGGACATCCCTGTTTAATCTACAGCTAAACCTCTTAGCATTCTGATTTGCACTGATTGAGACTATTTGAATAAACCTGAAAAAATGCTAATTAAAAATGCTTCCTCTTTAAACTTGAACCACTCTTTGACTATTTCTAAGGACTAAATAACCCAACTTTTGAGTGCTTGTTATCTTATAAAGGAAAAGTGTCAACTTTGCCTAAAGTTTTGATAAAACTCTTGCATAAATTTTTTGATCAAAATAAAATTTTGAAAACAATAAATAAAATGTTTAATATAAAGCAGAGTGCAATGAATTGAATGTCTTTTTCAAGGCTATAACCAAAATGACATATCCTCCAGTAACCCTTTAACTCTCATGAGTGACCAAAAGAGAATTTCTCCTTACAGTGTCAATGCAATATCAAGCAGACAAGTGATGAGAATAAAGAAAAATAGCAGTTAGGGGATTTTAGTTGACCCAATCCCAAATTCTCCAAATTAACACGATAAGAATTGTGTGGTAGATAATAAGGATAATTACAAATGAGATCTTGGGAGTAAAGAGTTAAGTGTCTAAAAGCTTTGTTACAGAAGTTCCACATCCTGTAATAATTCTGACCTCAAAAGATCCAAAACTATCATCTCTGAAGAAATGAATTGTTCTATATAAAACACAGCTTGTTCAACAAATTAAAACCATGGGTGAAATCAAAATCATTAAACTATAATGTAATGTAAAATTAATTATGGAATCAATTTAATCATAGATTAGCGTTAGCTTGCGCATCAGATCATTGTCTGTATAACACACGATGCAACTCTTAACATCTTGTGACCATGGTTATTACTTTCAATAACAATTTTATTAGTGTTACATTATAACTATGTCATTCTTAAGGTCATTCACTTCTATTTAATCACAGTTTTTAATAAATTACTTTATAGTCAAGTGAACAGTGGTGTGGGCATAGATAAATTGTCATAATCATGCAAAATTGACCAAAGATCAGCCATTATTTTGATAATAGATTATGAGTACCAGAATGATGTTATTTCTGCATAATTCACTACTGTAATCTCTCAAACGATGTTTCAGGCTGTTTTCATGGTAGTTATGGACAGAATTGTATGAAGATTTGCAAGTGCCCTGATACATGTAATTGTGATCCAGTAACTGGAGAGTGCTCTTCTGCAAGCAACCATAGTATGCTAAATTCTACTCAAAGATGTAAGTTTGATCCTTTCAAAGAGATCTAGGGGATGCGCTTACATTATTCTTACTAAGGCAACAATAATTTTCCCAGTCAGTTTTGAGATGGATCTTTAACCCACTAACTCCCATGATCTAATTGTCAATTCTCCCTTCCAGCTACTAAATATTTCCCTTGAAGTTAGTTACAACTTCCACCTGATAAGTTTGAGTATTCTCATCACCTTTTTGCTGGATGATGAATGGATATTATAGAGAGAAGTTAGTTGTTAATCACCTCTGGGAATTAAAGGGTTAAGGCAAAAAACCTTGTCTTCAGTGCATACTGAAATGCTCGAGAGTTTCTAGAACCCCAACCTGAGTAGTTAGCACAGTAACTCTTTCACTCCTAAGAGTAAACAGTAGGCAATATCTCTTGAGAATAGGCAATATCACTAATAAAATTGCTATTGAAAGTAATGAGGAGGTTGTCAATTAGGAGATTCATTTGACAAACTACAAGTTCTCAGAACAAGAATCCAGAGGATTGTATACAGACAAAGCAGAAAATTTAAATTTAAATCCTAGGAATGAAAACGTCCTGGCTGCCATGAACCAAGTTCAACAGACCTTTGAAATTTCGCGTAATTCATAAATTATGGTGGAGGTGCTGTGAGGCAAGAGCAGCCTTTTTTGTATCACCTAAGGGGTTATTACTAAAGGTGTGGCTGCGGTATTAAAAATTAAGGAAAATAAACTGTGTTTGAAACCACGGACTACTGGTAAGCTATACTGAGTCAAATTAATGAATTTTTATGTTATAGGGCTGCATTGTGAATTGGATTTGAAGATGAAGAGAGTTTCACCAAAGGAAACTGTGCTGCAATCAAATACTGAAAAAGGTGCAGTTACAGAAGAGGAATTCAGGTAAAAGCCAAGAAACTATGTTTTTTTTTTTTTTTAATTTACATGACAACAAAGCCTAAGATAAGCTTCCTCTCTTTATATATTACACATTAAGAAACCAGTTTTTTGATATTTCTAACATTCTCTGAGAATTTTTAGAAAGATTTTCTGGGTAAATTTGTGTCGTGACCTTCCTTTCTTAAACATTTTATCATCAGTAAGCATTGATTTTTGTATTGCCATTAATAGTTATTCCTCCTACTGTTAAAGTATGATTCTGTGTCCAGCTTTTGCATCCTTGAGGTTTTTAAGTTCAGGAAACCAGACTCAGAAATCTAACAAGAACTTCTGTACAGTCTATAGTTTATTCCATTGTGTAGAACTCTTCCATGAGTGTTGATTTCTTTGTTTCTTTTTTCAGTAAGTTCTTTGTATGGTTTGTGGCAGTGATCAGTCTCTGTGCCGTCAGCTTATTAGCCAACCTATTTCTGATATATCTGGCCTGTAATCAAGCTACAAAGAAAGCTGTCAGTTTTAATGGCAACAGAAAACATGAGCGTCTGCATCTGTTCAATGATGATGATGATGACGAAGATACCTTGTAACATACTGTTGATGATTTAAACTAGCTCATTTGACATGGAGATAGAGGAAAGGAGACTGTTAAGCTATTTTTTCACAGACCTCCCTTCCAAAATAGAAGATGAAAATTAAAGTTTATGTAATATTAAACTACACTGGAAATTTTTACCAGCACCCTCTGTAAACCTTTAAAATATTACAGTCTGTAACGATTTTTGTGGGGTGTATGGGTTGTACCAAATATCTTGAAAATAAGTAGTAAATGATTTGCACTGACTGGAGATTTTTTTTGACGCACCATTTTGAATGTATTTTTCCTTGTGGTTTTAAAAAGTATTTTTAAAAAAAACATTCCTAGGCCAGAGGTGGTAATAGAAGTGACAAGTGAGTGAAGAGGGAGGCTACACCTTATCCTCACTCACTGGTCTAATTTGTCATTTTGATACCAGTTCCATGCATTTTCAGTCTCACCAGTCCAATGGCCACTGAAACTCTCAATCATAAAAATTTTGCAGTCACTCACTTGAAATTATGCTTGTTGCACAGGCTAAATGTTATATAGAGATGGTTTTAGCAAAGAAAGATAAAAAATTAAAGTTGTAAGATAGTGATAAGTACAATGATATTTTTATTTAAGTATTGAGTTTTCTGATAATGAAAACTCTTGAACTTAGGTACTGTGTTGAAGACTTTTTAAGGCCTTCTACACCTTTTGTAGCCTGATGTAAAAGAAAGTTTTTATCTCATTCTAAAATTTTACAATTTTTTGGGGAAGAAAAGTTTCCTCTCTTATTTCTAGTTCAAAGGAGGAGAAATTTAGATTTTAATAAATAAATTATTAGTGTCATTAATTAGATTGAAATTAGTAAGTTTAAGGTTACATAAAATTGTTTAGTTAAGATTACATTGTAACAACAGATTGACTTATTCTAAGTTTGTTTTTATTTATATTGTTTGTCAAACCTGATGTAGAAAGTAAGGTTACTTGCAATAAATTAACTTTATAATCAAGGAATAATTGATACTCACTTAATGCCGCAATGCAAAACACACCAATCAAAGGATATTTATATTTATTCAAAAGTAGACATTGATTATGTGAGAGTTCTAAGTTTTGTAATAAACATGCAAACATGATCAGCATTTATAAACTATGGTTGCCACAACTTTCAAGAGAAAGGATGCCCCAAAGAATTGCATGAAGAGTTGTAATTGAGGAGTGATATGCATTCACTTCTTTTTCTTATAGAATTATTTTGTAACCCCTTGATGCCCATGTAGTAAAGAGTCACTGACAATTCGTGTTGAATCTTTGATCAGGGAAATGATGTCAGGTCTGTCTACATTTACAGAAGTGGAAGAACAAGAAAGGGCCAAAGTACTGCTTGGTAATCAAATTTAAATAACTAAGGGGGTTAATGGAGAGGGGAGAGGTAGAATTTTTATCTCGCACCTCTTTGATGTGGGGCCAATCCTTTGGAATTACTGCCTGGCAATGCTCAAATGACCCAGATTGACAGTTCACCTGTACCTTCACAAGCTTTTGGATTGGTCTAGAAACTGCAAGTTTTTTCCCAAGAATCCAAAGCATTAAATCAGACCTGGGCTTGAACCTGGACCTCACTGTGCAGCCACTGCAACCCTGTCCATAGTATTTCACAAAATTAATAAATCTTAGCTTTCTGCTAAATATAGGTTTGAGTTATGATATTAGGATGTTAAGGCTTAATTTGATAGAGTATTGTATCTGGTTAGTTCATGATGCAAGAGAACACCTCAAAATAGGAAATTGTCATTAGCCCAAAAAAGGAACAGCTTTAGCCTGGGAAAAGACCTTTATTGGCACTGTGGCCCTAACAGTGCCAATAAAGACTAATGCAACTGTTCTTAAAGAGAGCCAGCTTGCTCACTGGGATTTCAGGATAACCCTTGGAAACAAAACTTCCACTAAACTGCTGAACAATAATTTGTGGCACTCACTCTTCCTTTTTTATCGTGATAGCAGGTTTTACAGATCAACCTTATGACTATTAAGGAGCTATCAAATTAAGATGTTAATAGTTAGATAAAAGACAAAAGGAGAAAGAAAAAAATCTGACTTTCCCATTTAGAATTGAAGCATAGATTGTCCACCAGCCAAAGGCAACTCACAGAGTATGCATCTGGCACTGACTGCTGGGCTCCGCTATTTGTCAAAAGCATTGTGTGTAAATAGAAAAAGAAAGGTGGCTAGCTCTTAGCTTGTTCATGGATTGACCATAAATATCATTTGATTAGCACAAGAGTCTAAGACAAGAAAAACATGTGGGTGCCCCATCAGGAATTGATCCCAAAAACTGCACATTTCCTGTACTGCTGCTCTACCACTGGTGGTATACTAGTGGTTTTGTCCCATGTCAGCCTGAGTTGAAAAGGTTTGTTTTACAAAATTATATATGAATCAGCCTAACTTCAACTCCTTGTTTCAGCCAATAACTTACGTGATCAAATACGTAAACAGAGTGCACTTTATAAAAGCCACAACGACAACTTATCAAGCCAACGTCTTATCTCAGGTAACCTGGCCCCAAGCTCTAAACAATTAAGTTCCACATTGTCCCTAAATATATTTATTCAATACAATAAGTTCAATATAAGGTGTGAAAAAGTATTACAAATGTTACAGAGATAACTTGAAGAGATAAAGGGAACTGAAAATTAACACGAACTAGTTTTTCTTTGTCTTATGGTAGTCAAAAAAAATTTCTTGTATATATTGTGGTCACATTTAACTAGTCAATATAATCATTTTATCTCGTGCATGTGTTCTTTTCATATGACTTTCTATCCTAAATAACAAGGTCAAATTCTATAATTGTCCCTTGTGAGTAATATTTCTATTTTCTTATTCAGTCAGTTACACCAGTATAAATCGTTGTTAAATGTCATTCTGTATGACACTGTAGGTACTTCTTTTACAAACAGAGGATTTAACTTTGAGGCACTTGAAGTCGCATATTATTCCTCAGAAATAAAACCAGTCTGTCCATGAGTTGTTGTCGAACCAGCAATCCAGGACCGCCACTCAGGAAGGCCATAAGAGCTAGGTAATCGTCGATCGCCACGTTTTCGACGATTTCTTTAACACTGTCGTAGAGAAGTTGCCTGTCGTGAGCATTCATGTCTTTGATCACTTGGGAAGCAGGCTTGAAATCTCCCGAAGTGCCATAGGCTAATGCTCCGCCAACAGCGCCTCCAACGAGCAACCCAGCCGGTCCACCAAGAAGTCCTCCAACAGTCGTAGTAATTCCTGCGATAACACCGCCATAAGCAGCACCTCTGAAGGTTACTTTAAGTTCATCTTCATCGGCCAGAATGGCCATAACACGCTGCAAATCAGTCACGGAAACCGGCATGTCGACTGAAGGAAAGCGAAAGTACTCACAACAAGGAAACAAAACGAAAGATCAGTTCCGGTAAACGGCTGGGACTTTCCCCATTGTTGTTAGCCTCATTTCTATGTTTGAGTAGACATGAGGTCATCAGGTGTCTAATTATAGCAGTAGGTATGCAACGCGTGCAATATAACAATAAAAATATATCTACTAAGTCACCTCTAATACGTAAATAGTATACAGAAAATCCTTTATCGAGCTCAAAGTTAAGGAGAAAGGAGTAAAATAATTATGTCGAGTAGCAAGTTCTTTAATTTTTCTTCGCGTGAATCCTTCGCACGCCGTTATAACCGGCGCCTGTACCAAGTTATCAAATTACTTCAGCCGCAATTGATGAATATATTAACCTCCACATTAGTTAGTACTGATTACTAGCCCTCAGTCGCTTATTCTAAGGTTTACGCGTCTATAATTAAACTTAAAAAAGGCCATTTCTTGAATGAGAACATTATCTATAGAAAAAGTCGATGGATTGCATGTATCTTCGGTTCCAGATTAAACATGTTAAAAGCGTCGTTTGTGCGAGAATAATAAGACTTCATTGACATGTTTGATTTTGTCCAGATACATCTATCAACACAGACAGTTTGGAAGATTGCGAACGTTCGAGAGATACAGACCTCTTGTGATTAGACCAGAATCCAGATGATTTCTTGTGCATTATCTCTTTTACACACGCTTTAGATATTCATTTTGCAAAAAGAAAAAAGAAACTTAGTCATCTATCTAATTAGACTATTTATTTTTTAATT